ATTCATTTAGGCCGGGTCAGGTTGAAAGTAGTCCCCTTTTCCATGCAGGAACGATATTTTTCTTTCTCATTCTCATGATGATACCTATCCAACTTCTGATAACCTTGATATTTTCTGCAGCACAGCAGCCTGCTTCTATTCGCATGCCTGGCGAGAGACATTTGTTGTATTTTGACTTTGCGTTGAGGGCAATACGATAATTCTGTGAACTCTGTTACATTTGGAAATTGATTTCAATCAAATGTACCACATATGGGTACAATTTCACAATGTAGTACCACCGTACTTTTCAGTAGCAATTGTACCACATGTGGTACAAATGTACCACCTCTGGCAACACTAGAAGTATCAAGACAAATACGAATTTGCTGTACACACACACACACACCACGCTCCCCAGAAGGTTGAATGCCCAGGATCAAGTGCCGCCATATAACTAGCTTACGTTATATGATAGCTCCTCATCCCCATGTCCATCCACCCCCACTCACTAACGAGTGGACTTCAACCTTATGCATTTGGGAATCTGCATATGTTCCATAAAACCCCTTACTTGATTTCAGTCTTCCGACTTTCAAATCTTTTTGTCTAATGTGTGTTTCCTAGTCTGACTCGTGGTGGCGTGGTGGTTCCCTACCCTAATGGGAAGCATTTGAGTTTATGTCTTATTATTATTGGTTTACTTTTTTTATAGGCTATCAAAGGAGAGACTCTTCTGTTTATTTACCTGGTGATTATTATGCAACTTTTAATGATATTGATTTAAATTCGTTCCTTTATCTTATATTTGGTGAATTGGGCGCCTGTACTTTATTCTTCCGAAGCGCGAGTCTTGATTTAGTTGTCTATTAGTCAGGTCGTGCAGTAATTTGCTGTACAAATATCCATTGAAGAGAGGGGCAGATTCGTTACCGAAACTTCCAAAGCTAAGTGAAAATTCGATATTTTTTTCATATACCCTCATTTCTCTTCTCCAAACCTTTTTCAATACGAATTGTCACTTACAAGATAGTAAATTTTCTTTTCAGACTCGCTGATAAGGAAGTTCTTTTTTCTACAACCGTGCATGATTCACCCAATACCCGCACGCATTTTAATTTGGGAAGTTTCATTCTCCCGCAACAATGCGGGAAAATTTTTCCCACACTAGTGCGGGCAGTTATTTCCATCACTAGTGCGGGAAAAACAAAGATAAGATAAGATCGCAAAATATGAGTGGTTGATGATGGAATATGAAAGTTTAAGTTTGTTTACTGCAGTATTAAGTATGTAAGTTCAGAATCATCCATCAAATTGCACTATTCATTGTGAAAATTAAGAAATATCCTAAAATGAAAATTGATTATTATAAAAATCACCCTATAGATTTAGATTGATCTGATGGAAAAAGATTATTGTTGTCATGCCAATCAAACCTCAAATATGTTTTCAATTGTCGAAGTGACAGATACAGCGTTACTGTCATTTTTGATTCAGTCGAATTGCCACAATGTGATCAAAAAACTTCTAGCTATAGGGATTTCATACATATGCGTTATTGCCAACGAAGTCTTGAGAATGGTTTGGCTATACACGCGTTTTATTGAATGGTGCAACAATAATGAAATGAAAATACCGAATGAAGAATAAGTATTTTTGTCTCAATTCCTAGAAGTGTCTGAAAACTAGAGACCAAACACCTTATGGGCCTGCTGGCTTTTTAGTATATAGAAAATATATTTCTCTTGTTAGTTGTTCCTATCTGCATAAATAATTATTCGAACGAATAAATCAATTTCCTAGGCTTGTAGAAAAAATGATGTTTCTAACTCATGCAGAAAGTGTCTTTTTCCACTCGACTGCTTTCCGCACTTGTTAGGAAAATTACTATTTCGTACGGCTATAACACAAGATTGCTCAATTTTATTTCCGTATCTGATATCACAATGACTACATTGTGTTATTATTTCAGAAAAAAAACTCATCGCCCATGAAATGTTAAATTTCAAGCAATGACAGCTCTGTCTTATAGATGAGCATCACTTGACAGAAAATCAGATGACTACAAGACGAAGAAATCAAAAATGCCGCCTGTTATCTAATTATAGTCGGAAAAAAATTATAGTGTATACCTTGCACGGAATGCTAATTTCCTACTCGAACGATCGTAGCCTTCGCTTATGGCTCATGCTGCTAACTAAATTATCGTAGGAAATCACTATTATTCCGTGCTCATTAAACAATATACTATAAACGCAGTGAAATTTTGGGGCAAATCATCTAATTTGTCCTTACTACTCGTATCTTGAAATTATATTCATATTTTTATTTAATAAAAACGAGAGACAGTATTTAAGTTATTGTCGTCAATGTTGATTTGATCTACAGTTAACGTTAAGTTGAAGTAAAGTTAATGTTGAGGTGATATAAATTTTGTCAATCTGATGTTGAGTTAATGTTAAGTTGATGTTAAGTTAATGTCGAGTTAATGTTGAGTTAATTTTGAGTTAATGTTGAGTAAATGTTGAGTCAATGTTAAGTTAATGACAAGTTAATGTTAAGTTAATGTTAAGTCAATGTTAAGTTAATGTTGAGTTAATGTTAAGGTAATGTTGAGTTGATGTTGAGTTGATGTTAAGTTAATGTTAAGTTAATGTTAAGTTAATGTTAAGTTAATGTTAAGTTAATGTTAAGTTAATGTTAAGTTAATGTTAAGTTAATGTTCAGTTAATGTTAAGTTAATGTTAAGTTAATGTTAAGTTAATGTTAAGTTAATGTTAAGTTAATGTTAAGTTAATGTTAAGTTAATGTTAAGTTAATGTTAAGTTAATGTTAAGTTAATGTTAAGTTAATGTTAAGTTAATGTTAAGTTGATGTTGAGGTAATGTTGAGTTGATGTTAAGTTAATTTTGAGGTAATGTTAAGGTAATGTTAAGTTAATGTTAAGTTGATGTTAAGTTGATGTTAAGTTGATGTTGAGTTAATGTTAAGTTAATGTTAAGTTATTTGTTGGAATCATAAAGAAACAATAATTCCTCAGTTTATTTCGTTTCTCTGATCAACTTTTTCTTGTTTAAAAAAAACGATTCGGTTCCTCTGTGAGATACGTTGTGTTCAATGAATAATGAAGTGTTATCATATTGACTTAAATCATTGCTATACCTACAATAATTTCTTATCACTGTCTGTATATCAAAGGAAGCAATGAATGCATATTTCTACTAGGATACCAATTTTATACAGTTCACAATTCCACATAAGAACTAGCGGAAGGTACACTCATCCTTAATGTTAAAATAATATCAAGTTGATGTTGAATTGATGTTGAGTTAATGTTGAGTTGACGTTGACGTAATGTTAAATTTTTCAATATTTCGATGAATCCTGTGATTCATATGCATGACAAAATGTTGTATTAAAAAACACATCCCATTTGATAGATGACCGACCCTGGAGGAGAAACAACGGTGACAACCTCACTTTTCTCATGTGCTTACGAAGGATCAGAATAGATTTCCACGATTATTTTGGCATGTGTTTCTTTGTATGTTCATTGATTCAAGCATGTCATCACATTGTGCAGTCGTACAAAGCACAAAAAATGCGACGACAGAATGAGATTTATCTTTAAGGTAAATAGTTGCTAGAGTACTCACTCACATAGTTTTCATTTTGAAATGGTGTGATTTCTCTTCAGAATTTCTTCTGCAATAAAAGATGACAGAAACACTTTTTAAGTTTCTAAAATGAGGCAAGAAGCTTGGATTCGTGCAGTCAAACGGAAGGAATGATGATGGTCTGAAATGCTGGCGGAATTTGGTCTTGTGTGGTACATTTCCACTCTATCAGGTTTTCTTAGAGAAGTACAAGAAGGTATACTAAACAGAAAAAATTCTAAAATGAGAACTATATGTGACTACAGTACTTTCAGATATCAAAATTTACCTAAGAATTCTCATTCCTCCGTCTCTCGCAGCATTTTTTGTGTATTGTACAACAGCATCATGTCGTGATGGCCTGGTTATCAAATTGATAGTATAGCTCAAAAACACGATTCGTATGCCAAAGTAATTGTGGAAAGTTATGCCAATCCATCGTGAACAGATAATGAAAGTGGTATTGTTTTACCTCTAGGGTCGATCATCTTGAATTACACATGTGCATGCGACCTATATGCAACCAAAATTCAACTCTACCCGCTGCTCTCACTCCTCTCAATTTCTATTCTGTGTTTTCCAGAATGCCTCAGAAGCGTGACGTCTGATCTCTCTAGAAGTTCATCACTGGCCCGCGCAGCAAATGTTGCACTGTGCACGAAATCAACGCGAGCGAAGCCGCGGGTAAATGCTGGTTAATTGAATTGGGTTACTGGTAATTCGATACATTCCTTTGAAGATGTGATAGGTAAGGTGGTAAGGAGTGAATGCGACCCTGATATGCATTATGCAAAAGTTAAAAGTTATCGAGATATTTGAATTTTTCGTTTTTCTCCCAGCTGGTAGACTTCAAGAGTTTGAAAATAATTTTCTCTGAAACCTGCAGTACATGTTTTCGAACTTCCAACTAGAATACAAGATCGACAGTATGGTCTTATATTTGGAATGTGTAATTTCGTGAAATAATTAAGAACATAGATGAATTCTAAATACAAAGTCGTATTTTTGTTTGTGAATTGTGGATTTTAACACTTTATTGCGATTATTTTCAGAAACATCTCCTAGCTACATTCGTCAAAAATTTGTTAAACCTTTCTCAAAGCAATAACTAACTGAAAAATTGTTCTGAAATTGTATCTAACTTGAAACAAATGAAACTGAAGGTACTCGATACGGGTTTATTATTTCAAACGAATAGCGGAAAACATACTTGAAAATTGCCTCATTATTTTTTTTCTGGCGATACAGCAGAATTTGGTTTTTAATTCTCGATTATTTGCTCAAGGCATCCAAATAGCATATGAATCCTGAACTTATAGCAGCAAGAATATAATTGATTATTATGTGTTGGGTCATATGAAAGCGATGGTTCATGAAACCCCAGTAAATATTCAGGAAGAGCTCATACAAAAGATAACCGACGCTGCCCTGCACATACGATATAATTTGACAACTAGAGTAACAAAGACGGAGATAAGAAGACGCTGCCAAACATGTATTCGTAATGAAGCTAGTAAAAGAATGTTCTTACTATGCATTCAAAATAACAAACCCGTAAAATCGTTAAAATCGACAATTCACAAACAAAAATACGAATGTGTATTCACAATTTCTCTATGTTTCATATTATTTCTAGAATTTCTTCATTCGAAACATGAGACCACAGTGTTGATCATGTATTCCAGTTCTGGTTGCAAAACTGTACAGCAGGTTTCCAAAAAACTAACTTTTGATCCCTCTATCTATAGCATTCGGAGGAAACCAAAAAAATTAGAATATCTCTCCTTATCACCTTCCCTATCAGTAACCCTGATTCATCAACTTCCCTTCTGTTAATTTTTTCTGTATGTTTGTTGCTTGATTGAGAGATGTTGATTCTGCTATTGATATAATTAAAATTTTCCATATCAACGATTTGTTGGAAGCAACTTATTTCCTGTACACAGCTTCGCGGGTGATAGTACCCTCCATACCGCCTTCTCTTCCAGGGCGCTAATACCAGCCAAGCAAATCAGAAACAAACGAGAGAGAAATGTTGACAACATAAATATGGACTTGGCAACAATTCTCTAATTGAGATTCAATAACTTTCCATACCTTTGAAAACATCCATTTCGATGCTTGGTCATACTATCAGCAATAACCTCTCTTGGGAAAATCACGTGAGATCAACTGCTAAAAGTGCATCCCAAAAACTTGGTTTTCTGTTTAGGGCCAGGAGCCATTTCACTTCCAGTCAGCTGCTTATGATCTATAAGGCACAGATCTGACCTGTTCTGGAATACTGTTTTCATATTTGGAGTGCAGCACCCAAACATACCCTGAAACTGTTGGATTCTATCAAAAAAAGGGCAATTCGTCTCGTGAGTGATGTCTCGCTCACAAACTCACTCACTTCTCTGGAACACCGTAAAAAAGTTGATGATCTGACTCTATTTCATAGATATTTTCATGGACGATGCCCTTCTGAAATATCAACAATTTTTCCTCTCTTGGCACTCCCCGCGAGATAAGCCCGTCGAGTTGAGGCTTCGCACCCCTTCGTGGTCACTTTGGAGACCTGCAGAACAAAGACTCGTTCATTCAACGAACAGCGAGGCTCTGGAACACATTGCCAAGTGAGCTGTTCCCCGAGGCATATAACCTCCAGAAATTTAAGAAAAACACCAATCCCTACCTTATTTCTCTGGGTTCTTACTATGTTCTCTGAACATTACAAGATAACCCTTCCCGTGGGAACCAGAACATAACAAAAATCCATCATCACATAGAATCATAATGTATCATGAAAATAACTATGGAGACGCTGTAGTGCCGTGTGAACTTCGAGTAACGCATATTTTTTTCATAGTAACTCACGTATGTTGTCAGAAGCTATCGGTGTAGTGATGATGTTGTGCTGTGTTTGTTACAATTTCGAGACTTCTCGTGTTTCAATTGATTTCCAGTATTTTCTTGTTATATAACTGTAAAAGACAATTATCAATAGTTTATCATGGCTCACCAGTGCATGGATTGTAAAACAGTTCACCATTCAAACCCCAAATTGGTATTATGACGGTAAATTAGGTTGTGTCTTTCAACTTGAGAGGGGTGTAGGTAGCTATCGCTGGTAATACAGGGTGTCCGCTAAAAGGAGGTCAATTCATTAACCATATATTCCTTGAACAAAAATAATATGAGTTTCTAAATACCATTTTTCATTTTAGCCCTTCTTATTCGATATACAGGGTGTCAAAGTTGAAATTTAAAAACTGTTTTTTTCTAATTACTCGCGTAATTAATAAGATATCAATCTCAAAATAGGTACATTACTTCAGCACAAAGAGTTACATCGTGTGAGGAAAACAAAACAGAAAATACCTGTCAAATATTCAAAATACTGGGGGTCAAGTACACACTTACCCCCATATTTTTTTTGTACGTGCGCTAATGACTTCCTATCTATTTTTCTTCATGTGTTCAATCATTTTTGAGAATTTTTTGATTTTTGTGAAATTCCGATAAAATTATTTGTTTTTAAGATAATCCGAAAAGTACTGGTTATTGTTTGATACCTTGCGGCTTACGGTAATCTCATAATGTTCACATACTCCTATTTATTTCGTCGAAATTGAAAGAGGGCGTATCTTATTACGTACGGAAAGGTGAATATGGAAATACCGGGTGCTCAGAGCGAATGTAATTATTAAATTAATTTTTACACTTTTTAATTTTTTTTTGTAAAAATTATTTTAGTACATTTCCTCCGAGCACCCGGTATTTCCATATTTACCTTTTCGTACGTAAAAAGATACGCCCTCTTTCAATTTCGACGAAATAAATAGGAGTATGTGAACATTATGAGATTACCTAAGCCGCATAGGCATCAAACAATAACCAGTACTTTTCGAATTATCTTAAAAACAAATGATTCAATCGAAATTTTACAAGAAACAAAAAATACTCAAAAATGATTAAACACTTGAAGGAAAATAGATAGGAAGTCATTAGCGCACGTACAAACAAAATATGGGGGTATGTGAGAACTTGACCCCCAGTATCTTAAATATTTATTTTCTGTTTTGTTTTCCTCACACGATGTAACTCTTTGTGCTGAAGTAATGTACCAATTTTGAGATTAATATCTTATCAAATACGCGAGTAATTAGAAAAAAAACAGTTTTTAATTTCCAACTTTGACACCCTGTATACCGAATATGAAGGGCGAAAATGAAAAATGATATTTAGAAACTCATATTGTTTTTGTTCAAGGAATATGTGGTTAATGGATTGACCTCCTTTTAGCGGACACCCTGTATTACTGAGTAAATTACATTGAATGATGGATCAAAACTAGGTAAATATACCTGAGGTACTACGTTTATCTGGTATCAAAATTGAAAGAATAGACTCAAACATTATCTAATATTAGCTTTGTCATTGTAGTAGAATTGCTCAACCTACACGCGACTGGTAAAATAAGTGTGAACATGAACGCACAGCGTTTCCATAATTTGAATCCATCTCTTTCTAGCTTATTTGAAACTTCGGGAGTACCTATGTATGTTTGTTTACAAATAGTGATTTATGAATGAAATGTTATGTCATGTTATGTTATGATAGCACTAAATGAAGGTTCTGCTTCGCCAAAATTGGCGTTGTCGGTCAGCGAGTCGCGTTCCAGATTCACCATTGAAAAATGGCAATACCTATTATGTCAATGATTTTTAACTGGGGTTATGACTCATGTATTAATGCTTGTTGGAAGTTCTTTATTTTATCACATAATTTTCATCATCTAGGAGTTGCGGAAGTTATTGTGATGAATAAGATCAGATTAGTGGTCTGTCTCTTTTAGGGTTCATCCTGCGAAACTTTTAATGAAGGACGTGCGAAGGCGTTAAACTTTCGCATATTTCATTTCTCGGTGAGGAATTACGTAACCCTGTGCAGTTTCTCGTCATGAATCACTTTTTTCTTCGACCTCGTATCAACGAGTATGTTTATTAATTATGAAATTTATCGTTAATGACCCCTATTAATGATCAATTTGTCTATTAATTCATGTTCGTAGTATAGGCAAAGAAACATACACCGCTACCATTCCTTGTTTGCACTATAATTTACGGAATCTGCATTCGAATCTAAAATATGTATTTTATCGAAGATATTACGTTAACAGGTTAGCCTCCCAAAGTTTCTGATAATATTTCAATCCTTGTTTTCTTACAGAAGGAAATCATTTTCCATGTTGATTATATCGACAAATGTCAAATGTCATAACGTCAGTGACCAGTTCGGTTTCAATCTGCGTCTTGGAGTAGGAATGTAGAGGATAATTTGCTTTATCCTGACAGATTATGAAATGTGGTAGTTTTTGTTTCATTATTCATCAATTGGAATTTTCTAGAAACATATATAACGCGGGATATTACTGGTGAATCCCGCTATGGTCCAACAAATGCCCCAATGTTTCAGACTTAGTTACGATGTCTCAGAGATCCGATGTTCACATTGGATGTTCTACTTTACCCATTTTATCATTTTCTATAAACAAATGTATATGCCTAATGGTACCCATAATGCTAATGATGATTGACATGATTGTACAGTTCGAACAATTGTGAATTCGAAACATTGAAAGGTATTCAAATCAAAATCGTACTCGTACTCACATACTCACCTTAAACCACAGCTGGCTAATTTGATCGAACAAATCGAAATATTTATACTTACTGAATATTCACAATAAGATTACCATCAGGTATAAGTATCTAATACTCAATAACTTCGTTGAACCATATGTTGAACGACAAATAATAAATAATTTAAATATATCTGTTCAGCATATTTATTGCTGGATCTAATTATTACAAGCCGATAGATGACGGTACAACTACGTTGCTACTAGTTGCTCACCAGCCATCGGTCCAGCGCCAATAAATATATGCCTGAAATGACTGTTTATCGTCAATTAGTTATTGAACCGAACTGACCTTGAATGTTCAGATATTATCACATTCATATTTTTTATATCATATCTGGGAATGAGTGGGCCCTTTTCAGAATTTGAAATTGAAAATAATTCATTCGATGATATAATGTGATGTTATCCCATCACTGCCAACTAACAAATGACATCCTGAAAGTTTCTTGAAGATGTTCCATATCAAGTAAGTACCTCTGATGGTACATTTCGTGTCATCCCACAACCATTCTGATGGAATGTTTATGACATCGCAAGTGTTGACACGGGTGTTGCCAGCAACATCCCAAGAATGTCCCGAGGAAAATAGGGATTTTCCAGAGATGCTATGATTATTCCATTTGGATGTTCCTATACGAAGTAATACTGATGTTATTGAGTTATTAGAGAAGAACTCGATTCTTAACGGAAATATCATCGAAACAATGAATCACCATCGGGTATATTTGAAATGATACTATCCTTCCTCATTTACTGCCAACAGGTTAGAACAGAATGAAGCCGACACCCATGTTACGGTCCTGCCTCGAGACGCTCGTGACTATCAGGGCTACTGGATGATTGTGAGTAGTTTCCGGATGAATGATAAATTCGAGAAACAAGTTTTGTCGAAGGAAAAATGTTGTAACTAACTTGTATATAAGATACGACGGCGTATTGGGGCCAAAATCCTTTCATTTTATTTCATCGAAATCTCAATACTCCATGCCCATCTTATTAGGCTAATGATGGACATACATATGTTCGAGAACATGTTCTCTTGATGCGATTATTCACAATGAACCCTTGAGTTTTCACAATAAATTGTCGTGGACATGACTTTGTGTATTATTCAGTATTGAACATGCGTTTTGTTAAAATATGACCATATTTCCAATTTCAATGAAAAATATTTAAAATTCGTGTTTCTTATTTTGAGCATTGTTGATATTGGGCCAACGATCTCGAAATTTTCCGAAATAATTCTAATTGGCAAGGCTGTGTATATTGTCAAAATAACGATGAATCAAAATATGTGGAAGAATACAGAGTCTTCCATTTGAAATAACGCGTTGAGGAAACATCCTGTATAGATCGGAACTTTTTTGATTTCTAGACCATACGATATCGTACTATACATATATCGCCAAAAATATTTTCTCTGTCTCTTATTGCAATGAGTGTGCAGGAGCGAGATATAAACCAAAAGTACACACTATGACCAAGTGGGGTCATCTTCAGTGATATACTCATTTGCGGAAAATGATATTACGAGAGATAGGTGATTGAAAATCACTCTCGAATCAGAATCAGGATGTCCAATTCACTATATAACTATTTATGATTTTCCTCAAGACTGTTAGTTCTGAATGATGAAATTTAGATTATCAGGTTATGATATACATCAGTGCTCGCCGGTAGTGATTCACACGAGACCAACGAGACGAGACTTTCATAAAGTCTCGTCTCGTCTCACCGATAAAATATGAGGTCTTGTCTCGAGTCTCGTCTCGCAGCCTCCAGTCTCGTCTTGTCTCGCGTCTCGTACGAGAGTCTCGCAAATGTATCGCAATTTCGTCATGCATAATCTTGTACCAGTCTAGTACGAGATATTTACCTTTACCTTCTTTCTAGGTATAATGTAGAGGTAGGAAGACAAAATTACCACAGAAATAACATCATTTATTGAAAAGTAAGTACCTGATAGCGATTTTACTAAATATAAACTATTGCAGCACAAGACACGCCCCCTACTACGGCATTGCAAAATAAAATCGAGCCCAGCACAATCCTGCAAAATCTAATCTTTGACAGCACAACGTAGCTGATTCATATAAATAAATCGATTGAAAAAGTAGCACATACCACGTTATATCTCATCTTCAAAGTACTTTACTTGGGCAGAACTCAGAGACTATTTATCCTCAACGAACTAACCTATCCCTGATTGCAATATTTTTGAGGAAGGAAAACCGAATGGTACGAAAGCGCTGAAGGGCCATGGTGAGATATTTTTTAAAAAAATATCTCCCACATTTTTATGTCCCTTCGGGGCTGCTAAAGTAAAATGTGAAATAATTTTAAAAAAATATCTCCTATGTCCCTTCAGAGCCGCTTATAAAAATCATAGAGATATTTTTTCCGGCTGCTGTGTTGCCAAGTATATTTTATTGTTCGTGCAGTCAAGAATAGTGACTGCGTTTGCGCCAGATCACGTGATCAAGATGTGACCAATAAGGACAAGGGCTGTGGATTTGTGATTTTAACAATCCCACTTTCATAGAGAAAGAGAACCCTCCCCTCTTTGGTGTGTGAAATACCTTTCTACATATTAGGTTGTCATGTTCTGAAGTTCTGAACTTTCGACAACACGACAACGTTACTCAATTTTGCATGATATCTTTTATTAATTGATATCATGGAAGAAGTGAAGCAGTTAATCAAACCATACTTTCAGGTAGGATTCAATCTTTCCGAAATAAAAGCATTTTTGATGTTACGACATGACATTCTGATCAGTGAAAGGCAGTTGAAAAGGTACTTGAAACAACTTAATTTGTATCGAAGGAAAAATTACACAGACCTAACAATTATATCAGACTTCATTGACCAACAAATACTTGGTTCAGGTAGTCTGCATGGATATCGATGGATGCACCTGAAATGTTTACAAAATGGTTTGGTAGTCACAATGAACACTGTGAGGCGTCTCCTGAAGGAAAAAGACCCAGAAGGAGTTGAACTCCGTTCTAGAAATAGGCTGAGACGAAGGGCATATCATAATAAAGGACCAAATTATATGTGGCATGTTGATTCTTATTATGACAAATTAAAACCATATGGCATTGCAATTAATGGATGTGTAGATGGATTTTTTGTTTTCTTTCCCCCCTGAAAAATTTACTGCATTTTGCTGTCGTGTGAAACATTTTTTCTACAGCTGTAACACAAAATTGCTCTTGTTTTACTGTGTTCGATAAATCAATGAGGTACTTTGCATGTCATCAATTTTATTTCCGTATCTGATATCAATATCACAATGACTCTATTGTATTGTGTTATTATTTTAAAACAATCTCATCTTCCATGAAATGTCAAATAACAAGCAATGACAGCATTGACAGGCGACAGCTCTGTCTAATAGATGAGCATTATTTAAGGAAAAATCAGATGGCTACAAGCCGAAGAAATACAAAATTTCGCTGTTATCTGTCACAACCTTAGAAAAAGTATAGTGTATAACTCGCCACGGAATGTTGATTTCCCACTCGAATGGTTGCAGCATTCGCCAACATTCCGTGCTCGTTAAACAATATACTATTTTTCTACGGCTATAACACAAAGTTGCTATTGTTTTACTGTGTTCGACAAATCAGTGAGGTACTTCGTATGTCATCAATTTCATTTCCGTATCTGATATCACAATGACCCCATTGTGTTATCAGAGATAAGTTACCAGACTGGTAACTTATCTCTGGTGTTATTATTTCAAAAAAATCTCATCTTTCATGAAAAGTCAGATTACAAGCAATGACAGTTTTGACAGCTCTGTCTAATAGATGAGCATTACTTAAAGAAAAATCCGATGCCTACAAGTGGAAGAAATACAAAATTTTGCTGTTATCTGTTACAGCCTTAGAAAAAGTATAGTTTATAACTCGCACGGAATGCTAATTTCCTACTCGAATGGTTGCAGCATTCACCTATGACTCATGCTTCATTCTCGTGGGAATTGTCGATCATTCCGTGCTCGTTTAACAATATACTATTTTCTCCAAATGTTACAAAACCAATTTTGTGTAATTAATGTAATTATTTTTATTGAAAACTACATCATTTTGTGTTCACCCAGTGTCAATGTCAATTTTGATTACCAATTGGCACGTATTCAAAACGCCCCGATAACAGGCATAGGCAAGCTTTTAGACCAATCAGGTTGATTTTGGCTTCGGCGGTAAATTCGAATCGCATATCTTATAACAATGATGATTATGAGAAAATGTACTATATATGTTATATGATGATGTCGTATAGGCAATATATATTAGAGGTATACTCATCATATTAGATAGTGTTCATCTAAGAATTTGATTTGTCCACTTTCAGTCTTGGTGTTTTGATTAAATTGTTCTATTTCTGAATAAAGTTCATGGGATGTTTCTAATAGTCCATATCGATCTATAAACATTTTCATGTATAAATGATGGCAGAATATTATGTCGGAACAAATAATATCGTATAGATTGTGAGTTCTCTCTGTAGGTATGATAACTACAAGATCACCTTATACGAATATGTTAATCAAATGTTGTATCTTCCTATTGCATTACCGTTATAATGTGTGCTTGACACCAGGGTGCTTTCGTCGATATCCGATACGGGCTATATTCCGAATTCAACTGACAGTACTGAATCTGCTGATTTTTCATTCCGAAATCAAAAAATTTACTGAAAGTGACAGATGCTTGTGAGCAGACGTACTATTCATTCCAAATAATTCGACTCAACATTCTGCTGAAATTGCTGAGTATCAGAAGGTAGTGTGGCTTCAGTGAACTGTCATTATTTTATTGGGGGAAGGAATGTAACATTCATTTCTGTTTTTAATGATATTATTCTCAATATAATATTGAGTATGGAGTAGTAGAGGTAACAAAACAAGAAGCAGCATTGGCTAAATGAATAACTAAATAAACCTGAAATGTCTCCTGAATTCATCATCATAACGTTTTCTATAAATCTTTCAATTCTCAATCTGGTGCATCATGAAAATTAATGGCAACAAATGTCCAACGTATTCTTTATCACTCGAGCCTGAATCGTCATCGTCAATAATCGTAGAAACTATGGAGGCTACAAGAATCGATTGTTCTTTCATGTTAAATATTAAATATTAAATATCTGGTCCAGATAAACGGGAAACTACAGACTGACATATTTCACCAGCGGATCAACTATTGTTGACTACTGATGAAAACCATGAAAACGTGTCCCGAATTGCAGCACTGTATTTTTGATTTAATATTTCGGAACACAGATTATCAGCAGATTCAGTGGATCTACACTTGTGAACAGAATTACTCATCATTCCAAATATGTCGACTCAACAGTCTGCTGAAATTGCTGACTATCGAAAGGTAGTGTGGCTTCAGTGAACTGTCATTATTTTAGAGGAGGAAGGAATTTAGGAATTTCACATTTATTTAGGTTGTTCTTCAAACCTTAGGCATTTTCTCATTGATAATAAATTGATAATAATCAGAAACTGTCTGTTAATAAAATAATTGACGCTGAGAATAATATTTAAATTTCACTAGCTGTTCCAACTGCTGCTGATAACTGATGAAAACCATAAAAACATGTTCCGAATTACAGCACTGTATATTTGATTTTATATTCTGGAACACAGATTTTCAGCAGAATCAGTGGATTTACTGACAGTACTGACCAGTTGAATTCATAATATAGCCTGACAGTACTGACTAGAGTCACTGGATGGTATTAGTTTGATAAGAGTTCGAGGGTTTTTGAATGTTTAGATTTATCAAGTTACACACCTTGCATTGTGACAAGAGCACCATAGTCGTCCCGCGCTTTTTCATTCAAAATTGTTTGAATTTGACAATTAATTTTATAAACGTCAGAATTGAAATAAAATTTCATAATTATACTTTCGAGAAGAAGCATCTATGGAAATCACTTTCTGTGTGATAAATTGTGCCAATTCTGAAAAAAGTGGATATCGTTTATTCAATTTTCCAAATCAAATATCAAGCATTCGCTTATGGAAGGACGATATGACACGGCCTGGGTGAAAAATCAATTTGAAGACGAACGAAATTTGTGAGGTTCTCATTGAAATTCACTTCTTATAACAGAATCTGATTAGAATAAAACTACATTTTAGGTCCATTTTCAAACAGAAGATTTCAAAATCTGTTTGAGAGAATCTGCTGTTCCATCAATTTACAATGCAGACGATTTCAAGAACAAAATTCCTTTATTCATCACACAAAATACAAAACGAAATAATCATGGAAAAATAGGAAATGATCGCATAATTACATAATGAAATTGAAAATTTGAAAACGAAACTAAGAAAAGCAACTAAACTACAACGTGATATATTATTGAATGGCGTTTATGGTGCCGACCAAATTCAAAATTCAACAGTGAAAAGTAAATAGATATTTATGTATCAAGGGAATTAATATAAGGGCGTTAATTACGCTGGAGGTTATCGTTTTGGAAATATTTTCTATATCGATCCATGTTAGTTAGCTCCTAGGGCTAGAGGGCGCTTAGTGAAGTTGCTGAGAACTTTACAAAACCAAGTATTTGGTAGCAGGTATCGTCAAAATAAATTACTATTCTCCTATGAAATGTTTATAGAAAAATTATTTATTCTCTGTGTTTCAACACCCTTTATCTCCGAAATGAAGCATTTCCGGACACAAGTTTATATAGATTTTATTTCTTGAAATTGTCTCAGGAATTCTTCACTTGAACGTACTTATGTTACTTCCTGTATATTGAGAATACCTACCTTTGATTTAATATTAATAACTTCATGCTTCGTACTGCTTATCACTGGAGTACAGTTCCACATACAATAAGGAATTATAATTATAAGTTTAATAAGTTTATCCATATGTGTATATTTTCTAATATTAAAATGTTGTTACATGCATTCTTTTCATTTATATAACAGTTGCTCTGTTAGAAGTGTATAAATTGAAGTGGGTGTTTGTACCCTATATCCATTGTTCATCTACGGCTATGATTGATTTGACAGAAAATTTAACCTCTAAAATCGAATCTGACAATCAGTCGCTACTAGGGAAATTGAAAAGACAAAGAGCAGAATATATGTCATTCTTTTATTCACTTGAACCATTGTATTATAAAAAATAGAAAAGGACGAAAGTTCAGCTGTGTCCGAACTCTTATCAAACTAATTCCATCCAGTGACTCTAGTACTGACCAGTTGAATTCGGAATATAGCCACGGAAATAAAAATGGCACCCATACAAAGTATACCTAACTGATTTATTGAACACAGTAAAACAAGAGTAATTTTGTGTTATAGCCGTATAAAAATGTGTATTGTACATGTGTTGATCATTGATGTTTTTTTTTCAGGAAATTCCCAGAAAACGTGTTCCGCACGGATTATTTGTTGCGCCTTGTCTCTTTGTGTCCTGTCTCTAGATACGACAGTTCGGGGCAGAGATTAGCCTCCCACAGAACGGCTAATCTCTGGTTCGGGGCGTTTTGAATTCATGCGAACCAAGTTCGCTGAATGCTGAATGGTCACAATAATTTTGTTACTCAAAACTAGGGTCCCTTGATGGAAATTGACGTTAAAGTCATCTTAACAGGGTACGGACAGATCCTCGTCTCCTCTCACTCTAAAGTTTTTGTGAAACAGTTATATAGATCCATCCTTATTCAATTCTGGGGATAAACACTAGATTTTTGGCATTCGTTGTTTTTTAGGTTATATTGAGGTCACTGGCGTATCATACGTAATTTCCATATGGAATTCCTGATTCAACTATACCTAGATATAGATGAACAATCCTCTAGTTTAATGGTTCACCACTCCAGCATAATCTTTGCGAGGTAGGGAACATATAAATTGTACCGAAAGCTTAATATATTTCACCAAAAGAGACTGTTCTTAGACTGTATACCAGGTTTGACTGAATTGACTGAATGAATTCTGATTTCAAGCTGAGCAGTAGTTTATCTATGAGTGAAATGAGCAGATATTGTATTGAGTTCATTGCTATAAAGAAGGAGACTACCTTAACCCATAAACACCTAACCTAACCAATTTCCATCAAGGGACCCTAACCTAACCTAACATGTCGGCTTAAAAACAAATTGGAAATTTAAAAAAAAATCATCCCGGCGAGGATTGAACTCGGGCCCCCAACACGCTGTCGCTATCGCTAACGCCAGAGATTGCTAACGCCTAGTTGAATAAACTATCTACGAAGAGAGAAGAACATCTAGCAGTTCTCCGTGCACCATTGACGTCAGTTCACGTGTCCGTAAAAATTGAATTACAGACACATCAACGTCACAGATTAAAAAACCGAAAACCAAAACTTCAGTTGAGACTTCCGGTCTTCCGCGCGCAACATCTAACTATGATCAAACCACTCGAACCCCGAATTAGGGGCTTCTGTGAATCTGAGTTCTTGTTCCAAGTTAGCATTTTATCCCGGTTAACCCGTCAGACACTCTAGATATTTAGCCGTCATTGATTTTATCCACAGACACAGAACACAGATTAAGCAGAGAGTCAGAGACTAGAGCCCAATGTCAGAACAGAATGTCACAGACTCATTTGCTTCATTGTTGCCTTTATGGGATACTTTATGTTTTATTTTTCGAAATGAACAAAATACCCTAATCGCTGATACGCATTTACTTGGAGATTGGAGAATTAACGGATGATGGAAATTGTGAATGGATTGTTACATCATGGTTACATCCTAGAAGACCTTCAGAAATAGACCCAGCCACTTTTGAAATATGGTCTGATATTGAGTTCAAATGTAGGTTATGGTTAGAAAAACGAACTGTGAGATTCTCAGAAGAAATTATGTCCAAGATTGAAAGTGTTTCATGCTGAAATATCTGCATTTGTTATATAATTTTAACTCTTCAGGAACCATGTTCTCACACCTGATATAAAAGTGTTTGTAACATTGTGGTATATGGCATATGTCAACAGGATCCATTTTGCAAGTTACATGTGATTTCAATGGGATTGATTAATTCTACAGCAAGTTGAGTTGTATGCTAAGTGACAAGAACAATTGCTAGACCTAGTTGTACCTACATTAGGTTCCTTTAAACCTAAAGAGATATTGAGCAGACCAGACAAGGTTTCTTTAATATTGGTAGATTTCCAAAATGTACTGGAGAGCTAGACTGTGGACCACAAGCTGAAAATTATCCTAATTGAAAGGGTTTGTTCTCTCTCAATGCACAAGCAGAGTGATGCTGAGCTGAAAATACTGAACCTTGTGTGCTGCTGGCCTAGAGCTACTCATGATGCTTATATTTTTTGGAAATTCTAATTTGAGAGCCAAGTTGGAAAATTGAGATGCTGCACCTCCAGATGATGAGGAAATAGAAGCTGTTGTAGATTTTGTGGACAATGGACACACAAATATTCTGCCAACTTAATGTGAATAAATGCTAAAGATAAAATAAATATGTTTAAGTTTTTATTATGGTTCCAATACTTACTACATCAACAATATTTCATTCTATTTTCATATATTATTAGGAATTAGTAAAACATTGTAAAACCTGCAAATGTATGGATGATGTATCTCTTAAATATGCACATGGAAATGATACAATTAATTTATGATTGTTGAATAAACATCTGAAATAAGTAAAAAAAACCTTTATAACTTAGGTACAAGGCATGAAAGATACCTGTGATGTATATACATTTTTAATTAAATTGAAAAGATACCACCTAAATACAAAAAATAACATTATTTCAGTAATCTTTTCTCTTCTTGAACAATTGTCATGTTCATTTCATATGTCCTTCTTTTCAGAATTTTATTTTATCCACAATCTCTGCTCTGTAGATTCCATCATTTCTGTTCATGGTTTTACTTGCAAATGCTTGAGTTTGAGCTGATGATCTTCTATAAAAGCAGCCTTCTGAATTTCAGAAAGTTCTATTTTTGTAGCACTCCATATTATCAACTTGCTGTTCAGGGGGTTTCTGTTCTACTTGGAAGTGTCGAAATGATTATTCAAGTAGAGTAGGTATATTTTCCACACCTTTGTCATTACTGGACCCTTTATTTACTGGTACCTTCCAGCTCTGAGTGGTGATGAAATTTGTTTTTTCAACATATCAGGGGTGTACATAGACCAGACCAAATCTAATTTTTTGTCTGAGAACATTCTTCAACTGATGATTGAATCAACAACTGAAAAGAATATGATTCATATTATGTTTCTTTTTTACTTTCTCACATTTCGTAGGAACAGTACCTTCTGCTGTTCTAGTGAATTCAGGCAGAGAATACAATATTTCAAATGTTTATTCGTCTATAAAATGTAAAACCATAACTTCTATCCCATCATGCTTCAATCAGTCTTCTATCCTTGCTTCTTTTGCTCCCATTTTCAACACCAGGATGGTATCAGCACTAGGCAGCAGACATTAGTTCTGATTGTTCAATCAACTTCTAATCTACCATTGTCATCTCATTCAAACATTTTTGATTATCATCGAACAACTTTCGTCATTATGTGCAAAGCCTCAATGTTTCCAACAGTAGTCGAAGTGTACCTAGTTTGTTTATGACTTATGACCATAAACAAAAGAGAGTAATTTATCTATGCTTATGACATTTATGAGTTAGTCGAACTTTTGAATTGAAGAGAGGAAGGTGAAGCCACATAAAGGGAAGGGGGATCAGATGTGATCAAGGGGATAGAGCAAAATATATTCCGTCTCCCAATTGGTCACATGAATCACATGATATCGTAATCACGAACGTTGCACGCATGTGCGAGCTCATAGAAATTATACAAATACACTTGGCAACACAGCAGACCCAGAAAAAATTATCACATTTTTATATGCAGCACTGGAGGGACATGAAGAAATATAATTTTGTTTTTATCTCATTATAATGAGATAGCTAACTCATTATATTGAGATAAAAAAATATCTCCCTCATTTTTATGCTAAGAAAATGTAGGAGATATTTTTTTAAAAAATATCTCACCATGGCCCTTCAGAGCTTTCGTAGAATGGAGTGTAGAAACACATTGATTAATAATATATTTCAAAAGTTGAGTTCTTCAACAAAATTGAATAAGATGAGACTGTTTATCCTAAACGCACTAACCTATTTGACTTCAAATATTTTATGAAAAAGGAAAACCAGAATGAAGTAAAAAAACATTGGTGAAAAAAAAAGTTGCAAAAAAAAGTTCGAGTTCACAGCGATTCGAACCATGAACCTTCAGACTGAGAGTCGACAGCGCTAACCAGTAGACCATTTGGGTGTATGAATTTACTGCGTACAAGAGATTGACAACGAGAAAGCTTCAGTTCTTGCGTTGGAGCACAGTATGAGATATGACGTATTATGGTGGGCGTGTCTTGTGCTGCAATAGTTTATATTTAGTAAAATCGCTAAAAATTTTTCTCACCCAGTCGTTAAGACATAACAAACATCGTGCAGATATAGTTGACGCAGCACGTGGAAATAATCTTTCCGCCGGGACTGAAGTAGCTGGTATGCTTAGGAAATGTCGTGCCATCAAACTTAGAATGGGAAATTCAGAAGCATGAATTTTCCACCATTGCGATATATCTGTGTTTTTATCACACCGAGGCACAGAATAATATTTTTGAAGCTCCTGCATCCATAATCCCGTCAAAACAAATTTTTTCTTCATCTCAGACTATTTAGCACAGAATGACTTTGTTTCGTCCCCATTGTTTGTGTTTAATATTAATTTTCTACTATAATTAATAAGAATAATAAATTCATTAAGTTTATTCAATATATCATCATTTGGAATAAATATCTGTTTCGATATATTGTTTACCTGTGCTTTATGGGTTGCCTATGGTGTGGTACCAATAATGCGCGTATATATAGATTGTATGGAAAAGCGCGTGTCTGAGAAGGTTGGTGGGATAGACACATGGACGAACAGATATAGTCATCGAAAGACGAGTGACCGGCATCTTTGTGAGGTTCTTGCAAAATACTAGTTCCTTTTGTTAAACATTCTTTCGCTAGTGCTACAAATCGTGTATCAATGGATGTTCAGTGCTAGAATCATTGAAATAGACATTCGAGGAAATGGGAGCTGAAAGGTAGGCCTACCGCATCTACATCCAAGTCCACATCACGATACAGTCCACTTTGGTGAGTCTACTAATCTCCAACCTTCCCTCGTAATTCGATAGTTCGTTACGCAACAGACTTATTTATAGTCTGTCGTTATTACAGAAATGCCATTATTTTCCGCAGCCATAAGAGATCATGGATTGTATTTTTTAAATATTCATGAATGAAATGTTTTTTCTCCCTGTGCTTAATGGTCTGAATTCTTTCTGAATATGTTGTATCATGAATGAAATTCTCAAGTCTGCAGTCGGCACGCAGAAATATTTACCTGCGAGACTCTCGCACGAGACACGAGAAGTCTTGCACTAGACTCGGGACGAGTCCAATGAAAATCTTGTCTCGTCTTGTCAGAGTCTCGTCTCGAGTCTTGTCTCGAAAACGAGACGAGACCATGCGAGACTCTCGAAAACAAGACTCTCGCGGGCACCACTACTCGCCAGCAGCCATGTGAATAATTCCATTATCCCTGTATGTCCTGCATCCTGAGAAAAGATCTCTAAATTTTGAGATTTTTTCTAAACATTTTGAGATTTCGATGAGATGAAAATGATGAAATGAAAGTATTATTGCGCTAATAATGCGTCGTGATAGGGATGATTATTATCTCGAACATGCGCTCGCTTTGCTCGCACGTTAAAATATCCCGATCAACACAAATTGAGATAACAACTATTCATGTTGAACTGAATCCACATGCGTCCTTGATGTTCATTTATAATCACAGTTATAGTTCTTGTTGTTGTCGTTGGGCATTTAAGTATTATAGGTATATATTATGTTGTTTCCTCAATGCTTCCATCTCGGATATCCTCACATGGCTTCTGCTCTTGTGGCTGTCTCCCTTGAGCCTGAGTGAATATTTAATAAGTAGGTATAGAATTCTATAGGTATGATGTTACGACTACAATTTATAGCATTTATATTGTTCTATTCTGCCATTCGCGATACTGGAGAATACTTTCTACGAAAGATATGGTTTCGTATTGAGACCTACATTCCGAATTGATTTTCCATCATAAACCAGAGGAATGAATTTGATGTAAGGAAAATCATCGCTATGGAAATGATCGATAAAATAGAATATGAGTTTGTTTTCGCCATCAGAATATCAAATTTTTTTTTTCTTGATTGCACACGGTAAAATTTGATAAAATACCAAGAATAATTTTGTCTTCCTCTTTATATTTTGAGTCTTTTTTCACTCCAATTCCTCTAAATGAAAGCTTTAAGGAAATCTCTCCACCGGTTTTCAAATGCCAGATGGAGTTGTACACATACTAGTTGAACTTTAGCTTCATATATATTCATATGCAAATTAATGGCATTGATTCATCATTTCAAATGAAGGCATCATTTCAAAAAAAGTCCAGAAACGTCATGTCTGTAAGCGCTATGACGTATTCGACGATTTTTTCCAAATATATTATTATAAACAGGGAACATCCTTGTGACCCTTTTTTCGAATGTCCTATCAATCACCCATTCAACATTATAATTATTCAGATATTCAACGAATGAGGTGCCAGAATACCCCTCCCAGTAAACATGAGACATTTATGAAATATTGAAAGATTACCTAATATGTTAATGATTGAAACATTCTCCAGGAACTGGAACTTGAGTTGCTTGATTGAGGAACATCCAAACATTATCTGAATTTCAAATGATTGAAACGTTTCAATATCAGTATAATTATGAATGATGAGAACATTATTCAGGAACATTTCAGGGATATTGCAAAATCACTATAACATTCCTGAAATATTTCAAAACAACTATAATTGATATATTCCAAAACATACCGAAATTACTTGAGAAGTGAATGAATGAAACATTTCAAAATAACTTTGATTGTGAATAATTGAAACATATCATTCACTACGTATCCAGGAATGTTTCAATGCGTTCGAAATATGTTTGAAACATTTCAAGATACCTCAAACTCTTGAGATTTTGAAACATCTTAAATATACTCTCATTGCGGATTACTTCAATGTTTCAAGACAACTTGAATTGCTTGATTGAGGAACATTTCGAAGTCACCTGAATTTGAGATGATTATATAGGACATTTCAATATGACTCTCATTCTGAATGATGGAAACATTTTCCAGGAACATTCCAGAGATATTTCAAAAGCATTGCTGAAATAGTTCAGGACAACTTCAATTGATTCATTTCGAAACATTTTAAAATAACTTGAATGATAAATTAATGAAACGTTTCAAAATCACTTCAATTGAAATATATATCATCCAATACTGATTTAGGAATGTTTTAATACGTTAGGAATATGTTTGAAAAATTCCAAGGTTCCTCAAACTATTAACATTTTGACACATTTGAAATATACTCTTTTTAGGAATCACTTATACCTACTACAATATTTCAAGACGTGCATCTTGAAGTGGTTAATTAGAGGATATTTCATAATAACCTGAATTTTAATATAATAAATAGATTGTTTCACAACTATTACATGATCTATTTTGACCAAGCATAATAATTAGGAACGCATTTCATTATAATATTATGATGCAATTCAGTATTTCCCCTCCACAGCCGCCGCTTTCGTGGCTTCGGCAATCGATCGCGGGTTTCCGTCTTTGGCTCTAAGCGTTCGCGCACGCGCATTCATCTTCCTTTTCCTTGGTGACTGTGACGTGTGACTCGTATGTCTCAGTGTTTTCTCAAGCCAAGCAGAGCAAAAGACATCTAATATCTTATAATAGTGATAAAATATGATTATTTCACTCAAGGCAGACACATTTCCGAGTGTTTACTATTTAATCGTACCGGTAGACCTCTTAGGCGATTTAGGTCTTGGAACTGGCTCTGTAGCAGAATAGCGTCAGTCGAAATAGCGCTGGACAAAATAGCGCTACGAAACCCTAACAACACGGGATCTTGCTGGTACATCCCGCTAAGGTCCTACAAATGTCCCAATGTTTCAGACTTAGGAACGATATCCCAGAGATGTTTCTCTTGGGATATCCATCAGATGTTTTCATTGGATTTTCCAGAAACATCCCATTTGATCTTTTTTTATAAACAATATCATGGTTCCATATCTGCTAATGATGATTGACATGATTGAACAGTTCAAACAATTGTGACATTTGAAACATTGAAAAGTTGATAAAAAATGGAAATCAAAACTGTATTCGTACATATATACTCATACCTATACCAAAGCCGGCTAATTTCATCGATAACAAATTGAAATAATTATACTAAATATTCCGTAATGAGATTACCAAAGTACCTGCTTAACTTCATGAACCATGTAATAAACGACAAAATCAAAATATATCTCTTCAGCATATTTATTGCTGAATTTATTTGTTATACCAGCCGATAGATGGCGGTACAACTACGTTGCTAAGAGTTACTAACAGCCGTCGGCCCAGCGCCAACAAATATGAGCCTCAAACAACTGTTATCATCTTTCATCAGTTATTGGACCGCACCGACCGATTCGGATTGTTACTTGATATCTGGAAATAGGTCGGCCATTTTCAGGATTTCAGATTGAAAATAATTCATACCGTGTCATCCATTACTGTCATCAAACAAAAAACATCCTATATAAAAGTTTCTTTAAGATGTTCCATATCAAGTACCGTGAATGTCTCTGGTACATCCCGTATCATCCCACAAACATTCTGATGGGATGTTTATAAGACATCGCAAATGCTGACACGGGTGTTGCCAGCAACATCCCAAGAATGTCCCAAGGAAAATGGGGATTTTCCAGAGATGTTCCTATCATCCCATATGGATGTTTCTACGACGTCTTACAGACGTTATTGTGTTATTAGGGAATAGCGCTAGGTTAAAATAGCGGTAGTCAAAATAGCGCTGGACAAAATAGCGCCGCACAAAAATAACGCAGAACAAGAACAGCGGCGGACAAAATGGCGTCGGTTCAAATAGCACTGCGACTAAATAACGCCGGGTAAAATATTCTCAGAAAATCAACTATTGGAATAGGACGTGATTGGAAAATCAAGTTTTCGAAATCAATTTTAATACAAAGCCAAGTTTTTAACATTTACAAAACAAATTACATAAACAAATTATGAGCCACAGACTGTAAATACTGTTCAACGTTATTGAAAGCATACGTTTGAACCAAGGTTTTCAACCTGTTTTTTAGCTGGACGTATTTATTGTTAGGACTTCCTTTTTTCCTAAATCCTGAACGGTATCTTGTAACGAAGATTTCTGAAGACTTTTGTTCATTTTTCAATTGATTGATCAATTTGTATACATGAGGATGCTGGCAGTTTAGACCTTTCTGTAAGGAATTGTGCCATGCTTCAAGGGAATTATTTGTTTTTGGCAAATCGTTTTTCACCCGCTCATATTGATTCCATAAATTTATACTGAATCGAGGGTTGATATTATGAATCCTCTTACCAACGTAATTATCTTCCCAATAGTCGATCACCGGCATTAGTTCATCAGGAAAGTTTTCACGAATGATTTCCAGTGCGAACTGCACATCTTTTTCTGGGATACAACTGAGAGCAAGAAGCATCTTACATTTTGTTCTTATGTTTTCGTTGTTCCTGTATAGGTTTGTTAATTGAAAATGTTGTATTTTCCTCCATAAGTTCTGCGCCAGATGAAACGAACAACCGACAATACGCGTGTTGGAGAATAATTTTTTCACTGCATTGATAGACGATTGTTCAAAATCAACAAGTCTAAGGTTTTTAGGGTATTAAACACTTGAACGTAATCACCTTCTAATTGTTATGTCATGTCGC